ACCCCCACCCCCCAAGCCCCACACTCACCTGTCTGACTCGTCTCAGATGCTGCTCCCCACCCTGGGCTCCGAGGACCCCGGGGATATTCGAATCTCGCACCAGCAGGTCTAGATGCTGCAGGGAGACAGGTGGGGAGTGGGGGTCACTGAGGGTGGGGGAGGCTGGGACGGGGAGAAGGACAGTGTCGGCTGGGGTAACCTCAACCCCTCGGGAGTGGGGCAGTTGGTGCATAGGGCAGGAGCATGCTGTGGAGTCGGGGAGGGGTGCAATGTGGGGATACATGGGGCAGGGCGGGTGACTGGAGGGGAAGCCGTCTCACCTGAATGGGCTCCAGTCCGTAGGCCCCCCCCACCACTTCGGCCACCTGCACAAACATCTGTGGAGAGAGAAGAGGGACGGGGTGAGTCTGGGACCTGGGAGCTGTTTAGTCTGGGGGCAGGTAATCCTGCCTGTGGACAGAAAGGGGCCTGATCACCCTCCATCCCCACATGTGAGCGTCTCCCTCTGCCCAGGGCCAAGAGCGAGGCCCAGCGAGTGCGAAACGAATCGTGCGATGGACAGAGAGGATTTCAGCAGCGCAGAGAGAAAGAGGCTGCACCCGGCCATGGGAGTGGCAGGGGGAGGCCATGGGACAAAGGGTCTGGTGGTGTTGGGGGACGACTGTCAGTGCACACCCCTCCTCTGTCCAGTTTCAGGGCTTTCTCCTTCTCTCCAGGGCGCTCCATAGAGGTGTGTGGGGGGGGTGTCAGTGATCGAAATTTGGGGTCCTTTTACCAAGGAGTCCCACTCCACAAACACCCCATTGCCTTAGGCTGATGGACGCTACCAACTTTCTTAGTGCAGCCCCAGGGGTCAAATCACGGCTCTGCTCACGCCTGGAACAATCTCGGCCACACGGCATTTCCCTGAGCTCTGCCTGGGCCTCCGTATTTCTGCATGAGACAGGTATTTGCCAGTGACAGAACCCAGGGCAGCGAGGGCAGATAAAACCCTTCCAAGCCAACCCCTCCCCTGCACAGAGAATCCCCCCGGGGTGCGGTACAGGGGCAGGACACGACATATGCCGCAGGCGGCAGTGACGTCACTAAGGGCGTGACTGACAAAGGCTCAGTCTGGCAGGGGTGGGGCTGGGTAAGAGCCTGGAGAGAGGAGCAGAGCAGAGCAGAGCAGGGGGCAGAGCGACCGCCCCAGGCCCTGGCCCCAGCAGCTTCCCACCAACGGAGCTGGGCTGGAGGGGAGGGAGGGGTCCGAACTTTGGCCCAGTGGCTGATGCCGGACACCTGGGAGCAGAGAGCCAGGCTGGGCCGTGCAGTGACAGCGCTGACTCCAGAGGCCAATGTGACCGTGGGAGAGTCAGCTTCTCTCTCTGGGCCTCAGTTTCCCCACAGGAGCTATGGGGAGGGATAATAACCCTGTGGGGCTAATGGGAGGACCTGGCCCGGCCACGTTCTGCATCGCGCTGCCCGGCCTCACCTCCAGGTATTCGAAATCCGGGTCCTTCACCCGACGGCCAATGTTCAGTATCTGCAAATAGTCAGGAGATAGACAGAGCTACAGCAACGAGCAGTGATGGCCGCTCCAGGCCACTTCCCAACCACGTCACCCGCCCCGAGCACAGCGCCCCCTAGTGCCGCATGGGGCATCGGGGGCAGCCCTGACTGCCAGTGGAGAGCGCCCCCTACTGAGCCCCTGGTACACTCCCTGCAGCACAGCGCCCCCTAGTGCCACATGGGGCATCGGGGACAGCCCTGAGTGCCAGGGGAGAGCGCCCCCTGCTGTGCCCCACCCCGCTCCCTGCAGCACAGCGCCCCCTGGTGCCGCATGGGGCATCGGGGCCAGCTCTGATTGCTGGGGAGAGCGCCCCCTACTGAGCCCCTGCCCCGCTCCCTGCAGCACAGCGCCCCCTGGGGAACCCCCCAACCTGGTAGGAGCTGAGCAGCATGGACATGGCGGAGAGTTTGATGCTGGTCTCCTTGTTCCTTTCAATGTCCATGGAGCCCTCGGTGTCGACCAGCAGCACGGCCACCTGTGGGGGGGGCAAGAGTGAGAGCCCCAGGTCAGCTCCCGGCTTTGTCCAGCCACCTATGGCCCCTCTGCCCCCAGAACCTGCCCCCTGCTCCACCCCCATGGCACCTGGCATCTCATTCTTGCCTTCCCCAGAAATCCCCCAGTGTTAGCTCCCTATTTCTGTCTCTTCTCCGTTCCCCCTGTTCTCTCTCCACTGGTTCCCTGGGGCCTCCTTCCCCACGTCTCTGTCCATCCCTCCCTCTTTCCCCCATTCCCTCTGTTCCCAGCCCTCTACCCTGTTCCCCTTTCCTTCTCCCAGCGCCCCATGGCCTCCTCCCCCTTCCCTATGCACCCCCAGCAACCCCACTTACCTTTCCCCCCTTGGACGGGACCCAGAAGGGCTGACTCCATGCCCACACCCCCTTGGTGACTCGGTCCTCATCCGCACGCCACTCAAACCCCTCCAGGGGCTCGTCCTCCTGGCCCATCCATGACCCATCCCTCGCGTCCTGCGTGGAGGAATCATGGGGGGGAGGTCAGTGCAGGGTGGGGGAGGAGAGTGACTGGTCCCCTCCTCCTATCTCAGGCTGCAAACCCTAAGAGGGGACAGGGGTTAATTGTACTAGTGTGGGGCGGGGAGGATACATGGTGACAGGTGTACTCGTAATCTGATAGACAAACCGACTCACTGCTGTGTAGACAGGAGAGAGAGACACTCTGTGTTCCAGACAGGCAGACAGACACCTTAGGGTCCAGCCATGGCCCGAGCTAACCGGACATGTTTTGGGGTGGGATGTTCACAGACACGTGTGCAGCTCTGACCCACCAGCAGGGGGCAGGATGGGGCTGTTCACACCCAGCTCACTCCTGCTCCCGTTCACACTCACCGGGCTCCGGAGCCGGCGCAGCAGGTAGTTCAGCAGGAAGGATTTACCCAGGCGCTGCTCCCCGATGATGGACACCAGGCAGACGGGGGCGTCCCCCACCCCACCCCGCTCCAGGCAGCGGCTCAGAGCCTCCTCGTCCAGGGTCAGGCCCCCTTCCTCGTCCAGATGCACCAGCTGCACCGGGCGCCCCATCTCCGGTGGAGCCCCCGGCCCCTGCTGCAGGAAGAGAGCAGGGTCAGACCTCCGACCCCACCCACCAAGTGAGCCTGTCCCATGGCCCCGTGATCAGAGCCCTGTGCCCCATTCCCACCCTCCCAAGCCAGCCAGCCCCCCTGCCCTGGGGCTGGATCAGAGCCAGAACTCTCTGGAGGGGAAATCCCCTAGATTCTTGCTGGAACACATCAAGGGAGACTGCACCAGGCTGGGGAAGACCCTTAAAGAAATGGAGGCTCAGGGGATCTTCAGTGGGAGGAGGAGAGTGAAGGGGAGACAAGATGCTGATGATCACCAGGTGGCTCAGGCAGTGGGGCTAAGGAGGGCTTGGGGATGTTCGACCACTGGGAGGCGCTCACGGACAGCTGACTGGTCTCATGGGACGGAAGCCACCTGAACAGGGTGCGGGATAGACTTCCGGGATGGAGGTTGGCACAGCTGATGAAAAGGGCTTTAAACTAGGAACCCTGGGAGATGCTCTTGGAATCTCCAGGCCCGATTCTCACACTGAGCAGGAGGAAAATCAAGTAGGACAGGGCCCAGCAGTGGAGAAAGGAAGGACAGAGGGCGGGAGAATGGACGACAAGAGGAACAATAGTGCCAAGAGCACCGACACTAACAGTCAGGTGGCCGATACTGGCAGTAAAACGACTGTAGCTACCGGGGTGAGAAATCTGAGCAAAGCCAAGCGGAAGCAGTGAGATGTCTGATCAGCAACGCCAGGAGCCGGGTGACAAAATGGAGGAAGTAGAACTACGGGTGTGGGACGGGAAACCAGAGATTATCGGGAGAACAGAACCATGGGGCAGTACAGCCATGGCTGGATTACAGGAAAGAAAGGAAAAGGGCAAAGGTTGTGGAGTAGCATTGTGTGTTCATGACGAGGTGGAGTGGAAAGAAATGAGAAGGGCTGGAATGGGTAAAACAGAATCTGTTTGGGTCATAATCACTGTGGGGAAGAAAACTACCAGAGGCTCCCCTGGGATAGTTCTTGGGGTCTGCTACAGACCCATGGGTCCAGTTTGGGTGTGGATAGAGACCCCTTTAATAGATTGAATGAAATAATTACCACTTGGAATTGTGTGATCATGAGAGACTTTAGTTTTCCAGACAGAGATTGGGGGAGAAGTGCTACTAATAATGGTAGGGCCCGGATATTCCTGGATGTGACAGCCGACAGATTTCTTCACTAAATAGTCACCGAACCAACAAGAAGTGATGCCAGTTTAGATTTAGCATTGGTAAGTAGCGAGGACCTCACTGAAGACCTGGCTGTAGAGGACAGCCTTTGTTCGAGTGACCATGAGCTAATTCAGTTTAACTAAATGGAAGGATAAACTAACACAGGTCGTCAGCTGCTGGTCCTGGATTTCAAACAGGCAAACTGCAAAAAATTAAGGGAATTAGGGAGGGAAGTGACCTGGCCTGCAAAGCTGAAGGATCTGAATATGGAGGGGGCTTGTCAAAGATGCAGGAACTCTCTGGAGTCTGCGTCCAGGAAAAAGCCAGTAGGGAGGGGTTGCTGACCAAACTGGACGAACAAGGATCTCACATTGGTGATGAAGAGAAAGCAGAAAGCCTACAAGGAATGGAAAATGGGAGGAATCTGTATAGGGATAAAGTGAGAACTGCCAAAAGCCAAGCAGAATTGAGCTTGCAAAAAAAATTAAAACCAACAGTAAAAAGTTCTTCAGCCTTATAAAGAAAAAGAAAACAAGGAAAGAAGAAGTGGGACCGTTAAGCGCTCAGGATGGGGTGGAGATAAAAGATACAGGCTGCATGGGCCAACACCTAAAGATATAGGCATGGACTCTGTTAGCAGGAAAAGGAGCAGGTTGACCCAGAGGCGGATATGAGTACAGGCTTCTTTATTGCGATACTTGTTCCTGTCAACCAAATTGTCGAGTAAGCGCTGGATTAGTTACAGCACACTCTTTATCTAAGTTAGTATGTAAACGCCTACATCCGTTACAACCCCCCAAACCCTTATTGAGTAATAGAAACACCCATCCTGTTAGTGTACCCACCCCTATCTATTAGTCACAGCATTACCCATGTCACACAGACATTTTTATCTTGGAAATACAGTTCTTTGCAACAATCTGTTGCTACAAATGTCCCTAGCCAGCGGTTCTCAGGGGAGGGAGGAAGCGGCCATGAGCGGTTCTCAGGGGAGGGAGGAAGGGGCCATGAGCAGTTCTCAGGGAAGGGAGGAAGGGGCCACGAGCCAGGGCTTGTTTATGTAGCTGGGAAAGGAAGGGCGGGGGAGAGAACATTTCTTTTACCTTCTCTCACACGAAGGGCATTCATTTGACAGCTACATTTCTCCTGCAGCTGCAGGCCTTAACAATTCTCACAAGCAACAGGGAAGGGGAAAATATGGCAACTTATTTATTAAACAAAGAAACACTGCCTGCTTATGCCTTTGTCCCCTAATGCCATGTCAGCACAGCAGCAACTTCCCAGGTCTTTACTTAACCCGAACGTATCCCAAGAGCCTCAGTTTTCAATAAGCGTAAAGAGAAGCTTGTGGCAAGATGGCTAATGAGAACAAGAATACGGGAGTAGAAATTGTCCCTGAATGTCCCTGAAATGGAAACCAGATTCAAACAGCTTAATGGGACCAAACTGGGGGGGCCTGGATCATCTCCATCCACGAATATTAAAGAAACCGGCACATGAAATTGCAAGCCCAATAGCAAGGATTTGTCATTAAGCTGTAAAAGTCAGCGGTCATATCTCGGGTCCTACCAAATTCATGGCCATGAAAAACGTGTCACGGATCGTGAAATCTGGTCCCCCCCCCTTTGTAATCTGATCTTTTGTGTGCTTTTACCCTAAACTACACAGATTTCATGGGGAAAACAGCATTTCTCAAATTGAGGGTCCTGACCCATAAGGGAATTGTGGGGGGGGGGTCGCAATTTTATTTTGGAGGGGTCACAGTATTGCCACCCTGAATTCTGCGCTGCCTTCAGAGCTGTGTGTCTGGAGAGCAGCAGCTGGTGGTCAGGCACACAGCTCTGAAGGTAGCGCCCTGCCAGCAGCAGCGCAGAAGTAGGGGTGGCAATATCATACCCTGACATCCTTCCTTCTGCGCTGCTGCTGGCACCGGCTCTGCCTTCAGAGCTGGGCTCCCAGCCAGCAGCCGCCGCTCCCCAGCCGCCCAGCTCTGAAGCTTCATGACTGAGCTTGATAAGTTTATGGAGGGGATGGGATGACGAGACTGCCTACCATGGCACGTAGCCGATCTGTAACTGCTAGCAGCAAATATCTCCAATGGCTGGAGATGGGACACTAGATGGGGAGGGCTGTGAGTTACTACAGAGAATTCTTTCCCAGGGATCTGGCTGGTGGGTCTCACCCACATGCTGAGGGTCTAATTGATCGTCATATTTGGGGTCAGGAAGGAATCCCCCCCCAGTCGGATGGGCAGAGACCTGGGGGGTTTCGCATTGCGTTATTGAAACGGAACCCCTAGATACTGACCCCGGCCCTTGTTGCTGCCAACTCAGATGGGCAGAAGGGTTACATGAATTTAAAAAACATAGTGGGGAAGAGACATGGAATGAAATTTGTAAGGCTGGTTTGGACCCAGCATTCCCTATAGGAGAAAGCTCCTTTTCCCCTTATCCGGCCCATCTGGTCTCACCGGCTCCGGCTCTTCCCGCAAGAGCTTGGTGAATTTCTCCACCAGGCTTTCGACACGTGTGTCTGGGATCATCCTGCCCCTGGAGCAGGGAGCTCGGCACTCCGGGCAACGGCGCCCTTGGGCTGAGACCTCGCTCCAGTGAATGGAGAGGCAGCCCCGGCAGAAGTTGTGGCCACACTCAATTGAGACGGGGTTGTTCAAGACGTCCAGGCAGATGGAGCAGGTGACGTCCTCCCGGAGTTGCTCCATCCCTCTGATCCTGCAGGCCTGGGGAGATCGACTGGGTCAGAGCTGGCACATGGGAACACCAGGGCTGACATGCTAGAGCAAGGGGGCTGGGAACCAGGACTCCCGGGCTCCAATGTTAATTTTCACCACTTTGCTCGTAAGTTTCCGATCAGCTGCTGTGAGCTGGCTACTCCCATTTTTGGGCAGAGCTGGCAAATGCCTCTCTGCTTGTGGGGTTTTGGGTTGCCTGGGGGTCTGGGAGCACAGCCCCCTGAACTCCGATGGGGATGACAAGCCGTTCCCGCCCCCTGAGCTCACCCCACTAGAAACACCCGACCTGCCACGACATGGACTCAGCCGTGGGGTGAGACTCTCAGAGCCCCCTGGGCGTCTGCCAGCCTAGCCAGCCAAGGGGCCTCGGAAACGCCTGCTGCTTTTGCTCCTGTCGTTATTAAATGGGGGCTGCCAGGGGCATCCTGAATCCCCCTCCCCAGCTCACAGAGCGCCGGGGCTCCTGGAAAAGCAGAAGTGGCCAGAGCAAACCACACCCCCAGGCGGTAGCCGCAGGCAGGGGGAGGGGATTGAAGGAAGGTCACTGGAGAGGATCTGGGCACCGAGCCCAGCAGCCCTGATGGCCAGAGTCAGCCCTGCTCTGCCACGTGGTTAGTCTTGGAGCGTCCTGCCGCTGAGATACCCTCAGCCCTGGACCTTAGCTCTGCCAGTGCCTAACCCTGGGGTTGGGCCCTGGGATTGGAGGTTCACACGAGACAGGAAGTTGTGTCAGGGGCTTTGGGACAGGAAGTGGCTCCTGCCCTGAAAATCGGACGGCTTCCTGGATATAAAGGGTTTTTCATCAGGTGGAGGAGGGTGGGGCAGATTTTGGGGCCCCCCAGCAGTGGGAAGAACTCAGGCGTCCTGGCTCCCACACCTCCCCCGCTCTAACCCACCAGACCCTACTCCCTTCCCAGAGCCGGGAGAGAACCCAGGAGTCCTGAGCCCCAGGGTGTGGGCCCTGTCCCACAGGGGCCCCTGAGCAGTGGGATGGGGCTTATGCTCTTGTGATGCACTCTATATGATTTTATAAAAATATGCTAATGAGTGTCAATATAATGTGACTGGAATATGCTTCATGCAAAAGGTCTCTTGTAAGGTATCATTACAAAGCTTCATGCAAAAGATATATAAGTGGGTGGAGCAGAGAAAAGCGGGAGCCATCATGAAAAATCCCCTAATTACCATCTGAGTTGGAACAGGGGCTGTACCAGGGGAAACGACTGTGCCCAGACTAACAAGGCATCCAGTCTGTGAAAGAAACTTATTGAAACATCTCTGAGGGTGAGATTTTATCTCTATTCAGTTTTATTACTGTACTAGGCATA